GAGCAGTTCCAGTCGGACTTTCCTGTCCTGCGTCTGCACTCTGACAGAGGTGGTGACTTCTCCTTAGACCTCTTGGCAGCCTTCTGTGCGGAGCACGGCATCCGCCAGACTTTCACGCTTCCGGCCTCTCCGCAGCAAAATGGGGTTGCTGAGCGCCGCATTGGCTTAGTCATGGAGGTCGCTCGTACCTCCATGATCCATGCGGCTGCCCCCCATTTTTTGTGGCCGTTTGCGGTCCGGTACGCCGCGCATCAGCTCAACCTTTGGACCCGTGTCTCCTTGCCGGAGACCTCGCCTACGCTGCTGTGGACGGGGAAGGTTGGCGATGCGTCGCGTTTCCGGGTCTAGGGTGCTCGTGCCTTTGTCCGCGATACCACCGCGGACAAGCTCTCCCCTCGCGCCATTCCTTGCGTCTTCCTTGGCTTTGTCCCTGACGCGCCTGGCTGGCAGTTTTACGACCCCGCCTCGCGCCGTGTCTTTGCGTCCCAGGACGTCACCTTTGACGAGTCGGTCCCCTTTTACCGCCTCTTCCCCTACCGCACTGCTCCTCGCCCTTTCCCGCCACTCTTTCTCGCCCCAGGTCCTCCCCATGTATACCCCCTCCCAGCGCCAGGTCCTACTCCTTCAGGTGTTTCTCAGGTAGACCCTCCCGTCCCTGCGCCTGTTGAGGTCACTGGTGACTCTGGTCCTGCTGGAGGTGGTGCTGTCCCTGGGGGTGCGGAACTTGGGGGTGCGCAGCGTGGGGGTGCTGAGTCTGGGGGCGCTGAGCGTGAGGGGCCTGCGGGTACGGAGCCTGGAGGTGCTGAGCCTGCGCGTGAGGTGCCTGGAGGTCCGGTGTCTGGGGGTGCTGCATCTGGGGGTACTGCGTTTGGGGGTGCTGAGCCTGCGTGTGCGGAGCCTGGGGGTGCTGAGTCTGGGGGTGAGTCGCCTGAGGGTTCTGAGACTGCTGTTACGCGGTCTCCTTGGAGTAGCCGTCTTCGTCAGCGTGTGCCTCTCACCTCCCAGTAGCTGCACAACTGGTACGGTTGCCGTCTACGTCGCGCTTCTGCACCTCAGGACTCTACTGCTGGGGGTTCTTCTGCTGGCGTCACTGGGGCAGGGGGTGGTGCTGGTCCTTTGCCTGCAGGAGGTGCTCGTGTAGCTGGTCCCGGCGGTGCTCGTACTCAGGGTACTGGAGCTGCTGGGGCTGGCGGTGTTGTGTCTGACTGTACTGGCGCTGCTGGAGGTGCTGGAGCTACTGAGGGTACTGGAGCTGCTGAGGGTACTGGAGCTGCTGGAGGTACAGGAGTTGCTGGAGGTGCTGGAGCTGCTGAGGGTACTGGAGCTGCTGAGGGTGCTGGAGCTGCTGGAGGCGCTGGAGCGGCTGGAGGTGCTGGAGCTGCTGGGGGTGCTGGAGCTGCTGGTGCTGGTCGCCCTGCACAGCCGCGCCTGTTCTTCGCTCCACCGTCTCCGTCGTCTCAGCCACCGCCTGACTCTGCGCTTCGCCAGGTTCTTAGTCTCCCTTCGTCTACTGGTCTTCCGTTACAGCCTGGTTCACTGCTGCCTGCTCCTTCTCCGTACACTGAGCAGACAGGGGGCCTTGCTGAGCGTCGTGAGCCTGCGTCGCGTCCTGTCTCACGTGTCCGTTCTGGTCGTTCCGGTAGTCGTGTTCCTAGTCAGCGTCAGCCGGCTGTCCCCGGCCCTCACCTTGTAGTCCGTCGTCCTCACTCTCCTCCGTCGCGTGTTCCTCTGCCGTCTCCGCCTGCGTCCTCTCTGCCTGTCGTCGCTGTCCCTGCGTCTGACCAGTTTCGTGCTGAGCACTCTACTGTCACGCGTTTGCTTGCTACTGTAGTCACTGACCCGTCCTTTGAGTCTGCTACTGCGTCTGCCTTAGTCGCTGAGCTTGTTGACTTTGCTGCTGCCTGTCGTCTAGACTACGCCGCTAGTCTTGTTGCTGAGTCTGAGTCTGTCTGTCCTCCGTCCGTCGGAGGTGAGTGAGCTCTTGGCACGGACGTCCTTGAGGACAGGCAGGAGGACCTTGAGTGCCTTGCAGCCGCTGCGCCTCATCTCGTGGCCATGCTGCTTGCCCCTGAGGGAGACCCGGATGCACCAGACATCCCGACTCCGCGATCGTACGCTGAGGCGATCGCGGGTCCCTACTCCTCTCAGTGGCAGACATCCATGGACGCAGAGATGGTTTTCTGGAAGTCCACAGGCACCTACGTCGACGAGGTTCCCCCACCTGGGGCGAACATCGTCAGTGGCATGTGGATTTTCAGGGTGAAGCGGCCGCCGGGTTCTCCGCCTGTCTTCAAGGCTCGTTACGTTGCTCGAGGCTTCAATCAGCGTGAGGGAGTTGACTTCTTCCAGACCTTCTCCCCCACCCCGAAGATGACCACTCTTCGGGTGCTGCTACACGTTGCCGCTCAGCGTGACTACGAGCTTCACTCTCTTGACTTCAGCACAGCCTTCTTACAGGGCAGTCTGCACGAGGAGATCTGGCTGCGCCGCCCACCTGGCTTCACTGGGTCGTTCCCTCCTGGTACCCAATGGAGCCTTCGGCGGCCAGTCTACGGTCTCCGTCAGGCACCACGTGAGTGGCACGACACATTGAGGACGACTCTTGCGGCTCTTGGGTTTGCCCCGTCGACTGCTGACCCGTCGCTGTTTCTGCGCACCGACACTTCGCTGCCGACGTTCTATATCCTCGTGTACGTCGACGACCTCGTCTTTGCCACTGCTGACACTGAGGCTCTCGCCCTGGTGAAGTCGGAGCTGCAGAAGAGACATACGTGCACAGACCTGGGTGAGCTGCGCAGCTACCTTGGCTTGCAGATCACCCGGGACAGAGCACGCCGCACCATCACACTGACTCAGTCACACATGGTGCAGCAGGTCCTTCATCGCTTCGGCTTCACCTGGTCCTCAGCACAGGCCACTCCTCTGGCTACAGGTCACTCGCTCTCAGCTCCACCTTCGGACGAGTCCGTAGAGCCGAGTGGTCCTTACCCAGAGCTAGTGGGCTACCTCATGTACCTGATGACCTGCACTCGTCCTGACCTTGCGTACCCTCTTGGCCTTCTGGCTCGCTACGTGGCTCCTGGTCGGCACCGAAAGGTGCACATGGATGCTGCTAAGAGGGTACTACGCTACTTGTGCAGTACATCGGGCATGGGGCTCGTGCTTGGAGGACGGGGTGATGTTGTCCTCACTGGTCACTCGGACGCTTCTTGGGTTGACGACCAGGCTACGCAGCGGTCGTCACAGGGTTACACCTTCAGCCTTGGCTCTGGTTCAGTTTCCTGGCGTTCTACACGCTCGTCTTCAGTTCTCGGCTCCAGTTGTGAGGCTGAGATCTACGCCACAGCCATGGCTGCACAGGAGCTACACTGGCTCACCTACCTGCTGACCGACTTGGGAGAGCAGCCTCGTTCTCCTCCAGTGCTGCACGTCGACAACAAGGCCGCCATTGCCTTGTGTCAGGAGCACAGACTGGAGCACAGAACGTAGCGCATCGCTCTGCGTTACTTCCTTGCTCGAGAGTTGCAGCAGCGTGGCCAGCTTCGTCTTGCTCACGTGGTCACTCGGGCCAACACTGCTGATATATTCACCAAGGCACTTCCGCCTTGTGATCATCAGCGTTTTTGTACTTTGTTAGGCCTTGTACCCACGCTTCCTCACTTGCTGTAAGCTTTGTTTGTACTGTGATCTATATGTATACCTGCATGCTTGCTCTGGTAGGTAGAGATCACTGTGCTGTTGTTGTTACATATATATATCTGCATGTGAACTGGCCTTGTGGCCTTTTTGTTTGTCCTCAGACTGCGTGGTGACTTTGTGATCCACCCTGAGCTTGCTTTGTATTTTATGACTAGTCTTGTGACCCTCTGTTCTCCCCCACTTTGCCTATGAGGGTGTGTCAAACATATATATATATATATGTTATAGTTTGGGTAGGCTTAGTGGGGTACTCACTGTGGGGTACAACCCCTTAGGTTTCTCCCTTGTAAAAATCCTCTCGATAGTCAATTTCAACCATGCCTATACCGTCATCGCCCGGATATAAGACATATATGTCTTATCTCATACACTAAAAAAAATGCTTGGGTTATCTTGTATTTGGGGGGGTTTTGGGTGTCTTATAAGTCTTATACGGTAAATGGAAACTTTTTTAAACTACTTAGAAATATTTTCACGCATCTTGAAAAGAGTTTCTCATTAAGAGTGTGGATGGTTCAAAGGTGCCACTTTGGCAACCATTGTTCGGGACGCCACGTCATCCCGAATACTTGCAGAGGCAAATTTGGTAGTACGTGAGTCAGCACGTGGCAGAATTCGCGTGTCGCAAGGGTAAAGATGTACGCGGCATTTCAATTTTCACTATAATACATGCAGTTTCGATTATAAGACACATATGTCTTATCTCGTACACACAAATAGGTGTCGTATAAAAAGGCTAGCCTGTTTATAAGAGACACCCGTATAATAGGCAACCCCTGTCTACTATTCAACACTGTCTTATATCCGGGCGATGACGGTACTCTAAGATTGCACTCGTAATAGGGTCATACAGTTGTCATCACTCTGCAATGCATTCGTAGACAAAGCTGACTACCAAATAAACCTGCTCGACTGAATTTGCCAAGGGCATATGTCTCCTACCTACCCCACCTGCCTCTACACATTTGTCAACAGCTCCGAGCAGTAGTACCGAAATACCCCAAATGGAGGCGCACCTGTGCTTATAACGTACAGTACAAAACACTTTTCGTTGCTCTATGTAACACCAATTTGCTTCCATTCAATCCAACTCATCAGTGAAACAATTTACCTCCTCTTGCGCCTCTTGCAGTCTCGGCAAGCCGCCGCTGTCTCCTCCACTAGCTCTCTCGCAATCTCTTCAAACTGCAAGCTAGCATCCTTCGCCACTCGCTGTGAGAGCCCCTCAAACCGCGAGTGAGCATCCTATAGCAACTCCCAAATTAGTTCATCTCACTCATACAGTGAGCATCCTCTAGCATTTACCTCCTCTTACGCTTCTTGTGATCGCGGCAAGCCGTCGCACACTCTTCCATCAACTCTCTCGCAATCTCCTCGAACTGACCAGAAGCGTCCTCTGCCAGTTTTTGAGAAAGCTCCTCAAACCGCGAGTAAGCATCATGCAGCAACTCCCGGGTGAGCTCATCAAACTGAATGCACGGGTTTCTCACCGCAGCACCCATCGCTGCAGTCAACCTCTCGCCCAACCTCTCGCCCAACCTCTCGCCCAACCTCTCGCCCAACCTCTCGCCCCGCCTCTCGCCCCGCCTCTCGCCCCGCCTCTCGCCCCGCCTCTCGCCCGAAACCCCTGCGCTCGAATCCTTTCCACCTCCTGTGAGTCCCTCTGCTCCCCTCCTTGGAAATCTTCTCTCGTTCCGCTCTCGCTGCTCCTTCCTACCATCCCTATCTCGCTGCTCGTTCTTACCATCCCTTTCACGCAGTGAGACACCCCCAGAAGTCAAATCATCCGCTGCTGCTACTGTGCCTTGTCTGTGGGCTGATACTGGTTCATAACTCGCCAGGTGAAAATTCGTAGCAGGAAGGGGGGCTGTGGCAGGCAGCGGGGCTGTAGCGGGCAGGGGGGGTGTAGCAGGCAGGGGGGATGTAGCGCCAGCAGCAAACGTAACCCTGTTACCAGGCACGCGCAACAGACTGTTGCCTGATGCACCATATCCCCTTGCCTGATGCGTCGAGTCCCCACGTCCTTGCGTCGAGTCAGTGTATTTTCGCATGATGTCACGAATCGGATCTGTAGTGGTGGGAGCAGGAATAGGCGCGACTTTGTTACGCAGGCTCTGCAAGTAGCTGTCGGAAGGTTGCCTAGAGTCAGAGGGTTGCCTCTGCCTCTCAGCAGGTGCAACGGGAGAGACAGTGGGTGGCGCTGCTGCTGGTAAAGGGAGAAGCGCGAAGGGTGAAGAGAACGGTAGAAATGGGAACGGGAACGGTGATGGGAACGGGAACGGGAATGGTGACGGTGATGGTGATAGTAATGGTAATGGCCCGTTGTATCCCTGCTGTTGCTGCTGCTGCTGCTGTTGTTGCTGTTGTTGCTGCTGTTGCTGCTGTTGTTGCGGCTGTTGCTGCTGTTGTTGCTGTTGTTGCTGCTGTTGCTGCTGTTGTTGCTGTTGTTGCTGGTGTTGTTGCGGCTGTTGCTGCTGCTGCTGTTGCTGCTGTTGCTGTTGTTACTGCTGCTGTTGCTGCTGCTGCTGCTGTTGCTGCTGTTGTTGGGGCTGTTGCTGCTGCTGCTGCTGTTGTTGCTGCTGTTGCTGCTGTTGCTGCTGTTGTTGCTGCTGCTGTTGTTGCGGCTGTTGCTGCGGCTGTTGCTGCGGCTGTTGTTGCGGCTGTTGTTGCTGCTGTTGTTGCTTCTGTTGTTGCTGCTGCTGCTGCCCCTGCTGCTGCCCCTGCTGCTGCTGCTGCTGCTGCTCCCCCTGCTGCACCTGCTGCACCTGCTGCCCCTGCTGCTGCTGCCCCTGCTGTTGCTGCTGCCCCTGCTGCTGCCCCTGCTGCTGCGGCTGCTGCTGCTTCTCCTGCCGTTGCCTAACAGACTCTCCCCACCCTGAACCAATGCTCTCAGGGAACGCATAATCCGGCATTTCAGCAGGCTGCTTCCTTGCCGTAAACACCTTTGCAGCAGCAGCAGCAGCAGTAGCAGCAGCAGAAACTCTACCTGCTCTTCTAGCCTTTTTGGCTGCCACGTATTTCCTCGCCTGAAGCTCAGTTTCATAGAACAGTCGTATGTACTCAAACCATGCTGGTTCTGCCCCTGGCCCCCATGCTGGTTTTGTCCCAATCCACCATCCCCCCTTGGGCCTTCCCCTCACCTTTGCCTTCGCCCCTGTGTTCCCCACTGACTCGTTATTAAGTTGCTCATCCGCGTTAGTAGACCCTCCCTGCCGCTGCTCAACTGAGCCCCCCCCCGCCTGCTGCTCCGCGCCCCCCGGCGGCCTCCCCTTCGCGGGGCACCGCCCCGTCCCCCCCTGCTTCCGCCGCCGCCGCTTCCGCCGCGGGTCGTGCGTCTCCGCGTCGTATCGCGCTTTCATGCGCACCCACTGCTTCGCCATCGCTGTCGGGATGCGCCGCCATTCGGGATTCGCGCGCCGGATCGCGCGCCACACCTGCCGCCAGTATACGTCCCCCCTGCCGCCGCTCCGTATCGTGACTTCCCCGCTGTGCCGGCAGAAAACGACAGCCGCTGCGAGCTCCATCAGCTCCGCATCGCTCCACTGACTCATCTTCCGCGCCGCGAGCTCCGCCAGTTCCTCTCCTTCCTTCTCGCCTTCTTGAAGTTCGTACCAAGGGACCTCGAGGCCACCCGGTTGCACCACGCGACCCGGTTCCTCCACGCGACCCGTTTCGGCCTCTGCATCCGTTTCTCTGTTTCGATCCGTTTCCCTGTTTCGATCCGTTTCCCTGTTTCGATCCGTTTCCCTGTTTCGATCCGCTTCCCTGTCTCGAAACAAGTCTTCCGTTGAGTCATACGGCCTTCCGAACCGCTCTCTGAGGTGGTACTCGTCGATATCGTACGAGTCGTCCGACTCGCCATCGTTTTCGGCATCGCTTTCGCCATCGTCGTCGCCGTCGCCGAAGTCGTCGCTGAAGTCGTCGCCAAAGTCGTCGCTAAAGTCGTCGTCGTGGCTTTCGATGTTTTCGTCGCCGTCGCAGCGGGTTAACGCGGCAGCGTGATGCTCCTTAATCCACCGAACGAACGGATCATCGGGTCGTACAATCGTCGCCCAATCGACTTCCGTGCCCGCCTGGCCTGGTAACCCGTTACCTGAACGATTCCTAGACGCCATGATAATTCTGGAGAGGCTATCACCAAGCAGCGACCGGAAAGCTGCGCAACCAGGACGTGTTCGGAATTTGTTCAAAGGAAGGCCAAGGACCAAAAAAAACCCTAGGTGTTGTCCGTACAGGGAAAACCAGTCAGGGAGTTCCAACTGGACTCTACTAGCCTGTCCTACCCGTGACAGTAATGAAGATTGGCAGAAACATCTTGGGAATATACCATGGTCGCAGGAACTGATCGCCATCTCTCAACAATCGCCAGAGAACTGATCGTTTCAGTTCGGTGTTTGCATTAACCAGAAGGTTGTACAGGGTTAGACGTTGGTACTGCTCGGTGTTCAGGAGGTATGCAACGTGTCCCGTCCCAAGTTCCCTGAGCAGCTCTGGCTGACACGACGACTCTCTTGTCGTTCCCGCTTGTCTTGCAACGCTGAGTACTGTAGCAGACACTACAGGCTGATTATTCGCGATTTCGCAAATCCCTTACCATAGCTCTGGAAGCAAAGGCGGTGACTGGCGAAGGAACAAAGGATAACTACGGAAGCGTAGTCGGTTACAGAGCTGGTTTATATTTTCGGTCGCCTGTCCCTTTTCGCCTGTCCAAGAAACGGCATTTCTGGTGTCAACTGGAGATTATCCGAACATTGGGATTGCTCGCCGGACAGAACCGGCCTGGAGTTGAGAACTGTAAGGACGCGGTTCAAGTGTCGCTCGATAACCAAAATCAATCCGCCACCGCACTATATTCATGCAACTTACAGAAACGAATTTAACCCTAGAAAATAGAGCCCAAGGGAGATAGATCAACGCACCACGTCCTTAGCGAGATTATCCATTGGGCTTATGAGTTGATTGCGCACGGTTACTGAAACTACACGCCAAAAGCGCAGCACTGTCGCTTCTGGCGCAGTGTTTCAATTCAACCCATTCGTCGCTTAGGGCGCAGAGTTAGTGCGCTTTCAACGCAGTAAAATGTTCACTCCTCACGTTGTCGAGGGACCGACAACTCCGCTTCGATAGATGGCAATCGAAATGTTTGCACCCAAATTTTGGGCAAACAAATATCTAATACCCTCTCATATGACACGTTTTTAGGGAGTCATCAACCCTAAACATCAGGCGAAAGTGTTTAAGGTTGATGCTATTCGCGATGGGTTCTATGATTTATGGCATGCCATCGAGAGAGGCATCAACCCTAAACACCATACGGGGGGGGAGGGGGTTCAAAGGGCATGGCAACATTTGAAAGAGCCATAGAAGGTGCAGGGGGGTTTTTTTTTCCTGTCGACTAGATTGAAGCAAACCTTGAGGTCAGCACCATTTTTTTTTCTTTTTAATTTGTCGAAAAGACACTTGCGGTGCGAAGTTGGTCAACGCGTTCGTTGGCGTAGGACTTGGTGGGAAACCAGTTAAGCGAGGCATTTATAAATATATATTGATGTCAGAGGTTATCCCCGATTGATCCTAGGGAAGGGTTACGGGCACGTTGGCCTGGGGGGTTATGGGCGCACTCACCCGCTACACAAACAAGCCCTTTTTATCCCAATTGTCTAGTGGTTGGGATTCTGACATAGTATCAGAGCGAAGGTCTCGGGTTCGAATCCCAGTGTGTGCACCTCGGGCATCCTAGTGCGGGGGGGGTGTCAGAGGTCCACTGGTGATCCCCGATTGATCCTAGGGAAGGGTTGCAGGCACGTTGGCCTTGAGGGTTATGGGCGCACTCACTCGCTACACAAACAAGCCATTTTATCCCAATGGTCTAGTGGTTGGGATTCTGATAATTAACTTGTGTTTTTAGAACATAGTCAATACTGCAAAGGTTTGCGAAATAGGGGCGAATGTTTTTTTTTTTTTTTTTTTTTTTTAAGCAAATAGTCCTTTAGCTTCTGTAGATCCTTGCTTCCGGTCAGAGTCAGTCAAGTCTGTCATTGTACTATCAATTGCGCTCCTTGTTCAAGTTGGATAAAAAGGGTTGTGGGGTCGTTGATGTGGCAATCCTTGTCAGAATGTTATTCTCTAGCCTGTAGTGGGGTGCTCTATAGCGAGTACAACCCATCTAGGGTTTGCTATATGTATCCTCATTGCTGCTAGTGAACTCCTCCTCTTTTGCCTAAACTTCTCTTGCCTAGCTAGGACTTACCTAGCTATGGCTCCTAACTCTACCTACTATCTTCACATGGTATTAGAGCGATATGCTCCTGGCCTGTGGGTCCCACCTCACTGCTTCCGCTGCTACTGCTACTCTCTGTGTTGCACGCCCCGTGGCGTGCAACGGATTTTTCATCCCGCCACGCGCTCGGAGCGTGCGGCGGTTTTCTGCCCGCCGTGCGCCCCGAGGCGCGCGGCGGTTTTCTGCCCGCCGTGCGCCCCGAGGCGCGCGGCGGGGCGCACGGCGGGTTTCTGCCCCGTCACGCAGCGCGTCGCTCCCGGGAGGCGCTGCGACGGGCGACGGGGACCCGCGCGTCGCCCCCCGTCACCCGTCGTGGCCTGTGCGCGGCCCGTACAGCCTGCGCGCGGCCCGTACGGGCTGCGCCAGGCCCGCGCGCGGCTCGGGCCGCCTGCGCGCGGTTCGTCGGGCTGTGCCAGGCCCGTGGGCGGCCCGTTCCTCTCTGTCCCTGAGCTGCTCGCTGTCCCCCGTGCTTCTGACGGTGCCCCACCCCTACTGCTGCCCGTTCTCCTGAATTAGGGTTTGGGGGTGAGGAGTGTGGGGGTGGGGGTTATGTGTTACTCCCCTTGCTCCTCCTCCTCCCTGGTCTCCCACTGCTGCAGCTGCCGCTGAGGGGGGTGGGTGTGTGGGAGCCTAGGGTTTAGGGTTTTAGGGGGGTGCGTGGGAGTGGAGCTAGGGTTTGAGCAGTGGGTGTGTGTCGAGGGTGTGGGGCAGTTAGAGAAGGTTGTGTGGAGGTACCTGTCGTGTCGCCTGCAGCGCCTGTAGTCCGTCGCCCTTGCTTCGGTAGCCAGTGAGCCTGCTGCACCAGTCGCCAGTGGGTCCGTTGCTCCTGCCGCTCTTCTATAGCCGCCGAGCCAGTTACTCCAGTAGTCCGTCGCCCTTGCTTCGGTAGCCTCTGAGTCAGCCGCTCCTGTGCCCGTGCCTCTGCAGCTTCAGTTGTTGCCTCCCATCTTCTCTACCTCCACAGCTCCTCCTCCTCCTCACTTGCCCGCTGTGATTAGCTCTAGCTTTGCTTACCTTTGTGAACTCCTGCTCTATACCTGCTTGCTCATTGTACTGATTACACCCCACTTTGGCTATGGGGGTGTGTCAGAATGTTATTCTCTAGCTTGTAGTGGGGTGCTCTATAGCGAGTACAACCCATCTAGGGTTTGCTATATGTATCCTCATTGCTGCTAGTGAACTCCTCCTCTTTTGCCTAAACTTCTCTTGCCTAGCTAGGACTTACCTAGCTATGGCTCCTAACTCTACCTACTATCTTCACAATCCTTCGATGAGTAAAGTATTTCCACTACATCATCATATAAGCACACCACCAGATTATGTAAGTCACTCGGCTAGTCGGTTGCCTCTGTTTCTTTACTCTCAACGTCGTACACTTCAACTCTAGCCACTACGACATGATTCATTGTAATGGCACTGACATGGACCAACGAAGACTGGGCAAGCTTCAGAGAGGTAGGGCGATGCTGTTACAGTTGAATCACGTAGTGCAGCCACACATCATCTTGTCAATTTGGCGGTTGTCTTGCCATAGTCAAATATGTCTGAGTAAGTGTCCGTTCCATCGAGTGTCGGATATTTCCTGGGTAAACACGATACTCTCATTGCATCTAAAACCATATCTCCGTACGGTCTTGTATGGCAAGCGGTCTGCACTCCACTAGGAGTGCATTAATTGTAGAGAGTCACTCTACAACGGGAGTAGATTGCGTGGGGGGTTACTGTCATAATGTTATAGTGCTTACCTTTGTGTAGGCTATAGTGGGGTAGCCCATAAGTGGTACACCCCAATTAGGGTTAGTACTTGTACCCAACTCTTTCATAGTTCATTCATTATTGTTCGTTATTCTGACATGGTTTCAGAGCGGGTCCTCTGCTAGGACCGTTTTTTTGGGCCCACCACAGCGCTGCCCCACTAGCCGCCCCTAGCGACCCTCGTGCCGCACCTACTGCCCCTATCGCCGCCCTCGTGCGGCCTGCCCGTCGCCCCTAGGCCCGTCGCCCCGGCCCGTCGCCCGTCGCCCCGGCCCGTCGACCGTAGGCCCGTCGCCCCTAGGCCCGTCGCCCCGGCCCGTCACCCCTAGGCCTGTCGCCCCGACCCGTAGCCCGTCGCCCCGACCCGTTGACTAGGCCCGTCGCCCCTAGGCCCGTCGCCCCGGCCCGACGCCCTGGCCCGTCGACCGTAGGCCCGTCGCCCCTAGCCCCGGCCCGTCACCCCTAGGCCTCTCGCCACAGCTCGTCGCCCCGGCCCGTTGCCCCCCCCCTCGGCCCGTCAACCCTGAGCCCCGTCGCCCCTAGGCCCGTCGCCTCGGCCCGTCGCCAGTCGCCCCTAGGACCCCGGCCCTACACCCGTCCCTCCTAGGCCCGTCGCCCCAACCCCGGCCTGTCGCCCGTCGCCCCAACCCCGGCCTGTCGCCCGTCGCCCCTAGCCCCGACTCGCGCCCGTCGCCCCTAGCCTCCGGCGAGCCCGTCGACCCCAGGCCCCGCGCACCACCTCTTGCAGCCCGCCCCTTCACCTCTGCAGCCAGCGAGCCGCCCTTGCAGCCCCGCGCGCCGCCCCTGGTGGCCCCCTAGCCGCCCCTGGTGCCCTGCTAGCCGCCCCTTGAGGCTCTCTCGCAGCCGCTGCTGCCCTGCTTGCCGGCCCTCTCTGCTGCCTGCACTGTTCCCTGCGCTGCTCGGCTTCTGCCCGCCCTGCGTGCTGCGCCGCTATGACTTCTCTCCACGTTCTAGCGTTCGATCATGAGGGCTGCCCGATCCAGTTAGACACGTGGCTTGACGACCTGCAGCTGTACCTACTGAGCGACTCTAGGGACAGTGTTTCGTTGTTTGACCACACGT